AATGACATCACGGGAGAAGCCTTGCCTTCACCTATTTTGTTCACCTAATATTCTCCACGTCCGCAAAAAATAAATATTTTTTCGTGTAAAAAGCTAGTTTTTGTCGCTTTATTCATTTAAATATTGTTAAGATTGGGCATATTAGAAGGCCGGTGTTCCCCCCCCCCCCCTTTCCCCCACCCCCGCTGTCGATACAGGAACGGCAAATGCTTTCTTTTTGTCTGTTATAGTTATTGTCACGGGAAATAAGTGTTCACAAATCCTCGCGTCGTGTCTAGTGTAAGGCATTGAGTGACGCCACTGAATTTACTCTTTTTTTTAGCTCTGAGTTAGCTCCGCTGGAGCTCATTATAAGCGCTAATCTTAAGAGATGTTTGAAATGCTCAAGCAGTGCTGAACTATAGCGCTGCTCCGTATGAAGGAGCAGTTTCTATGAGGTGGCGCACAGCAAAAAAATAAACTAAATGATTCAATTTTGTTCAAAAAGAATACGCGTTGCGGTATGTGGCGGTTTTACTTACCCATAAATAAATATTTCAATAGATTTTATTGCCAAGACCAGCGCAGCGTAACATGCCGTTTTTTGCCTGTCTTCTTGAAGCTATATTAAAAATGATGTTAGAAAATCATGTAGAAAACAAACTGTTTTGAAGTTTGGAAACATACGTTTTTCCTAACTTTTAGTGTAATGTAAAAGCATATAGAAGATATATTTTTTTCCGAACGACTGAGGATAATTTACAAAAGGTTTGTTGAAGTAACGAGATAATTAAATTGAGATAAAGTTATTGACTCTGGGTGCATCAGGTTACACGTTTAAAGAGACAATTAGCAACTAAGTACCTAAAATGTTGCGCACTTAAAACAGACGTCAGTAGAACACCTTGTTAAAAATTTTTTTCGCGAGCGTGGTTTCAGATATCTCGCTCGAGTTTGCTTTTTGCTGTATTTTTTATTTAATGGTCATATAAATAACATTACAAAGTGTATTAAGACGCAACTTTGTGTATTGACATCATAAAATCGCCGCTCTTCCTAACCATTGTGGTAAGGTAGCATATATGTATAGCAATGTCTTATGTGCCTCATACGAAACATTCGAGCTTTTCTACACTATTTTTAACCAATAACAACAAATATTATTTCTGGTATTTCGAAGGAGTTAATTACTACCGCCAGATAGTAAAAATATTCAGAATGACTTAATTATATCTCATTTAAACTTTATGATTTCAGACGCTCAAGGGAACCTACCCGGCCAGTGGGCTGAGGAATATCACCAGTGTTCAAGTATAGTAAGTTCATCGGTAAGTGCAAGTAAAAAACTATGAATAGATAAAATATTTACGAAATAATTAGGAATACAATAAAAAGCACGGTGGTCCAGTGTCTGTGGAATATAAATATACGTGTGTAGAAATTACAAAAGATGTAATGTCCGTGTTTTGTTCTTCATGCGAAATTCTTTCCTAAAATAGTATACAATGCCAACGCAATAACCATAAAAACTATAAATTAAATTTAAAATTTGGTTTATATTCATGCAGTTTCGATTGGGCGGTTTTTTTTTTTTAATCTGCAGCAAAGACTATCATAATCTATCTGATTTATCTCTGGAATAGAAAGATGAAAACGAACTAAATTATATGTAACTCCCTGTACATGCGCTTAGAAAAATGTCCGCGAGCAGTATCTCCATGTGTGACACCTAGAAAGCAGCCTAATATTCTAAGCTGCGCCTTTATTAGAACCAACAAATTTTATTTTAATAAATGCAGTCGCAATAATTAAACTATTTGCGATTTACACAATAGATCAACGCACAAAATCATATGTATTGAAAGATGAAAAAAATAGTTTAAAGCCATATTGTAAAATGTTCAATTTGTATTTTCTTTCAAGAAACCAGTTAAAAAATGCACGTTCTTCTGCAAAAAGAAAACAGAAGAGCACTTACCAGAAGGATATTTTTTCGGCATTTATCGCCATCCTTCACTATGCGAGGTGAGTTTCAAATTTTTGTTTTATATATAAAACAGTTTATGATTCATTAAGCACAATATTTAAATTAAACTATTGTTTTTTAAAAAATCATGCAAAAGATACATTTTTTTTATAATTCAAGCCACGTTACACATCAAATCAAATTCACCAGCAAGAGCCAGATATTACCTAGTTTATGAAGTATAAAATTCAATTGTATATAATCTAGGAATTCACTATAACTTCCGACAAATATCCCCGCCCGATCCCGTCTAAATTAATTAATGCAGTGCGTGCTAGTGAAGGCACCGTATAAATAAACATTAATGTGAAAGGTTGCTTTAGCATCTCTATGGAATGACTATATGCAAAAGTTGTTGATCATTGTTTTCCCTCATTAAATTTGACGGCACCCCTAGGCAAAATTACGCTCTCTTACACGAAAAAAAAAATGTGCAAGCGCGGGAAATTGGCAAGGGATAATTTGCGAAGAGAGAACAATAGCATGAAACTCCTTCAAGGCGAATCAAACCCAAGATCCCACGATTTTGAGTCTGACGCTGAAACATTGGGCCGAATGAGAGGTTATCTTTTTCTTTATTGTTGCGCCTAAGAAGAGGCTTGCGGACCGATATTCTTTTTAAATGAGATAACATTTTTTTAGCCAACCTACACTGTGTTACTCGCAACTGGTGCCACAGGGTAGCTCCGATTTTTGTTCCCACTGCACGAGGGCTCTTGCAGCCGAGTACCAATCGAACGCAAGGGGATCGCTTTTGTTCCCGCCAGTGGGCAGGTATTCCTCAGCTTCCAACCAATGAAACAATTTTTAAAGGGGTCATAGTATATAGTACTCAAGCCAAATATCCGAAATACATTAAAAGAGCTTACTGGAACATAAGGAGAGAAAGAGGATATATTGGGCCTGAGTCTTAGCAGTGAAAAATGTAGAATAATGGTGTTTACTGCTGGAGCATGTCTCACAAGCGCTTGAGGAGGCCGAGCGAGTAGTTACATGGCACAAGAAAGACGGCATGCTGTTCAGCAGTGTGCATTCGCGTATCCACAATAACGTGCGCCTGAAAATCCTACGACGCTATTAAAATGACTTTCATTTCTTTAAACGCCACTGTGTGGGTGGTTTGCGATGCCCTTTTAGCATGCAACTTTTTAATAGGAAAAAACAATTAAAAATTAACGATTAAAATTTAAAAGTGTATTGCATTTTCAGAATTTTTTAAACTCATCGCCCCTGCAATAGTAATTGGCGTTAATACTGCATTTAGAACACCATCTGCCAAAGCAATAATTAAACAATTAGTTACAGATTTAATTTAATCAGGACCCCTGATCATAAAGTATATCTTCCCCCCTAATATCCATGGGGCTCCATATTTCAAGCAAAAAGACGGCATGCACGTAGCTGTACTCCTTTCCCTGTCTAAAAATTTCTTCCAATAAAACCGCGACCTTCTATTATTAAGTGTCTGGAGTAGAGCACTGCACGGGCCACAATTTCTAGGCCTGGCCCGTCCCGGCCCGGTAGAGACATGGCCAGGGCCTGCCCCGGCCCCACAAAATTTCTAATTTCTAGGCCCTCCCCGACCCGGCCCGGTGGAGACACGGCCCTGGCCCGGCACGGGCCCAATAAAATTTTATTGTGCACGGGCGTCTATTTTGTAGTGGTCGGTTGGTAACACGTCCACGGTTGGTCGATTTTATTGGTCATTTCGAACCCGGAAAGATCTAGGAGTAAAGAAGATAATCACAATCTCGCTAGTTCATCTTTAAAAGGCTGCATAAAAAAAACTTATCTAGGGTACGTTGGCTTATCTTTGGTGGGATAGTAAAGCCGCCGCAGAAAATAAAAAGTTCAGTTCAGGTTTTTCTTCTTTTCTTAGTTTGAAAAGCTAAGAAAAAGGACAATCGTTTTTTGCCCTGCGACCGGAGCGCCCTTGTTTTCTTGCCCGCACACTCACACTGTGCTGGTGGAGTCCATATATTTTCTCTTATCCGCTTGAAGGCTTTCTAACTGCAAGCTTCCTTTTTGTTACTATTTTTAACTACACTGTAGTGACTTTCACTTCGCTTTTCTTGTTTTCAATTAACCTAAAAGATGAATGAGCAAACTTTTCGCTATCAACAATTTAGAATTTACGACTCAAGACTGACTGCCCACGCACGGCCCGTGCCGGCCCGGACTGGCGAGGCCCGAAAACATTTTTGTTCAAGCCCGAGGCCGGCCCGGGCCCGAGGAAATACGTGCTACCCGGCCCGAGCCCGGCCCGCGGGCCGGGCCGGGCTCGGGCTTTCGGGCTGGCCAGAGCCCGTGCAGTGCTCTAGTCTGGAGGTTCCGGCTGAACGCTCTGCTCTAATGAATGTCTTTTCTTTGTGACCCTTTCAATTTTAGACATATGTAGCAAAATCAAATCAAATCAAATCAAATCAAAGTTTATTTAACATCACCAAGTACAAAGTACAAAACAAATGATGCAAGGAGCTCTGACAAAAAGCCGCAAGGGTGCGGCTTGACTGGGTCTGAGCCCCCTCTGCATATGCATAGTCCCATTGCAGTGTACAAAACAAGCAAAAAAGATTAGGCAACAGCACTGGTAATAATACACAATAGCAAACAAGTAACGCAACATCAGCATCACTTACTAAACATTAAACAATAAATGCACACGAAGAGATACAAGGGGAAACAATAGATCTAGATATATAAACTGCATGGAACACGAAACACTTATCTTTCATTTCTAATTATCAAGTGAATTTAATAAAAATGGTAATGTGTAACATAAAGATTGATTTCCGTAATTCGTACGTGCATGAGGAATGATCCATGCTTCATTGTGACGTGTGTTATAAATGTTAGTGTTTCTTGTTAATCTAGATAATTGTTCTATGATGTTGTTATTTAGTTTTTTGCCGGCATAGTACCTCTTGAGCAGTATATCATTATATAAAAAGTTAACTGGACGCACCTTAAAACTTTTAAAAAGTGGCTCGGTATGCGCATCGTAGGGAGAGCCAGTGATAACGCGCACGGCTTTTTTCTGTAGTGAAAAGAGTTTAGTAAGGTTTGACGTGGTTGTAATCCCCCAAACTAGGTGGCAGTAGTTGATGTGAGAAAGAAACAGGGAATTGTAAATAAGCAATTTTATATTAGTGGGTAGAAAAAACCGCAACTTTGTAAGAATACCTACGACGCGAGAGAGTTTATTAGCAATTATTTCATTATGTTTGTTCTAGGGCTGGGGGTCGATTAAAAATTTTAACCCGATTAATCGCCACCCTTTAATCGATTAATTAATCGATTAATCGGTTGCGTTAATATTTATAATTAATATATTAAAAAGAATGCAGCAACTCGTCTTGCCTTTGAAGACGTATTTTACTCTCTGTTACACGGCACAAAGGATATTTAGAATTGAGGATACATATAGTTCAACGATTCAAAGACTCGCATATTTTTGCTCCAGCTACAAAGAAAAAGGAGTTTGTCCACGTTCTCCGACTGTAAGATAAGAAGTCAGAGCTTGTGCGATGCTTTCTTCTTTTTTCGGGGAAAGGAACCTCGATGAGAGGGCGTTGATTGTTGTCTGCGTTTTGGCGGATGGTCCTTGCTGCAGCTACATGGTTGCTTCGCTCGTAGGCGATAATGAACTGAACTTACGCTTCCACTGTATGAAAACGGCTTTTTGCAGATGATGCAGTGGACTTCCTTCGAGGTAAAAACTTCACCGCTGGAGTTTTATTTAGACCTAAACTTTCCAGCGAGATTGACTTTCATACTCGTGAACTCGTCCATTTTTACATGCCGAGTACTGGGACAAGTAACCATGGTGTTGTTAGCTTCCCTGCTTGTTTGTCTGCTTGTTTGTCTTGCCTGAGCCCGATGTGTAATATATCCCCAACACGTGAAGTTTCGCGGTCGCGCGGGGATTAGTTGCGGGCCTGGCTTGTTCGTCTGGCCTCGGCAGAAGTGTAATGTATATCCTCGAACACGTGACGCTTCGCGAGCGCGAGAATTGAACCTTGCTCATAGCACCTGGTTGGGAACGGACTTCTTTTGAGTACCGATTAAAAAACCGATTAACCGGTTAAAACATTTGATTGCGATTAAAGCCTTAATCGATTAATCGGAAGGTTAATCGATCAATTGCCCAGCCCTAGTTTGTTCCAAACTAAGTGTTCTTCAAATACAACTCCTAGGCTTTTAACTGAGGGCACAACATCCACAGTTGAAGTCCCTATCATGAGGGGGTTCTCAATATTTGCTTTCTGATTTTTAGGTCTGAAAAGTACAGCTTTTCTTTTGGACTTGTTAATAGCTAGTGAATTCAACAGGGTCATTTCGTTTAATTTATCGAGAACATTATTTGCATGATTTATTAATTGTTTAATATCGGAAGAATTAAAAAATAAACTGGTGTCGTCGGTATACATAACAAATTGGGTATCATTATCAATATTTATTACGTCATTAATATATATATTGAATTACAAGGGCCCACGAACGCTACCCTGGGGTACCCCGGATTGAATCGCTTTGATATCGGACATCTTGTTGTTTATAACAACTTTCTGGAAACGAAACTGAAGATAACTTTTCAACAAATATAGAAATACCCCTCGGAAGCCATAGATATCGAGTTTTTTTAGTAAGGTAACGTGGTTTATTCGGTCAAAGGCCTTTGAGTAATCTACAAAAATCCCTATTGTTAGCAGTTTGTGTTCAATAGCATGGAGAATCAATTCTTTTTGTGTCAGGAGTGCTGACTCGGTTGAACGACCCTTTCTGAAGCCAAATTGAAAGTATGTGATTATCCTATGTTTTTCACAGAAAGCAGTCATTCTATCATTAATTAATTTTTCTAGACCTTTTGAAAAAACGGGAAGAATTGATATTGGTCTGTAATTTGATAACTCGTTTTTGTCACCCCCTTTATACAAAACGCTCACCTTCGCTAACTGCATACGCTTTGGAAATACGCCGTGTATAAATGGCAGGTTATAAATATGCTCAAGTGCAGGAGAAATTAGATCTAGGACGTACTTAACTGGACGAATTTGCAAGTCATCGGCGTCACAACAGTTACTGTTACGGAATGAAAGAAACACGTGATACATTTCTTCAGCATTAGTCGGTCCTAAAAACGCACTTTCACGGTTTCTAGCTTTTAGGTATTCTAAACTACGCGGATCATATGTACTGTTAGCCAGCGATACAAAAAAGTCGTTAAAAGAGTTAGTTAGCGCCGTTCCCGATGTTGCTTGGCCATTTAAAAGTAACTCTTGAATACACTGTGAGTGTTGCTGGTCACGACCAAGCACTGTATTCAGTCTTTGCCACGTAATGTCACTTCGTTTTAGTATGTCGGCATTGAACAGGTTGTGAAGATAATTCCTTTTAGCATTTCTAAGAAAACTAGTCACTTTATTACAAAAAACTTTGAAAGCATGTAGATCATTTGAGTTTCTTGTCTGTAAAAACCGCCGATAAAGAGCATCTTTTTGTTTTATTAGTTTTAACGACTTGTTCGTTATCCATGGTTTCCTTGACTTTTTGCTTCTTGATGCCTTGTGACGAAATAATCTTACATAAACCGACTTAAACAAGGTTAAAAAAGTGTCGTACGCTTCATCAGGGGTAGTTTTACTATATACTATATCCCAGCATATCTGTGCGAGTTCGATGCGAAATTGTTCTAATGTTAGTGGATTAACGTCCTGAAATGTAAGAGTATGAATTTCTTTATATGATTCAACTATTGCGTTTTGAGTAGTCATGAGAAAAATGGGCAAGTGATCGCTGACGTTCACCCCCATAACACCTGATACTAGTTTTTGAGTGTTTATATTTGTAATAAAAACATCAAGTAGCGTTGCAGAATAATTCTGAAAACGAGTTGGCAGAGTAATGGTGTTAACACAAGCGTTTGAGTCTAATATTCTAACGAGCTCACCCTGTGTTGTCGTCGCGTTTAACATATTAATATTAATATCGCCACCTAAGACCAGGTTATATCTATTCTCGTTTACCCAGCACAAAAAAACATCCAAGAACAATAGGAAAGCAGATATGCTCCCTCCAAGGGGGCGGTACACGACAGAAAATATGTTTTGATTACACACAATGGTTAAGATTTGAGAATCGTCCGTTATTTTTGTAAAATGTTGAATTACGTCGAATTTCAATGTGTTCTTAATCATTAATAATATACCACCCCCCTTCTTGACAGAGCGGTTAAGGTACAGAGTTTCATAGTCAGGCATCCTAAACACTTCATTATCCTGCTGATACCACGTCTCGGAAAGCATCAGAACATCAAAAGAAAAGCCAAAACAAGAAAACAGTCCCTGCAAGTCATTGTCCTTATTCCGAGCACGCTGTGTATTCAAATGAAAGAAAGATGTACACTTTTGTTTAGTTCGGTAAATATCAGTTACGTCTGATGGCGTCAACATGTTATCAGACATGTCTGCTTAGGGCAGAAAAGACGATACCCGAGGTCAGCACCTATTGGATCTTGTCCAGGTCCTGGGTGCAAGTTACACGCAGCACACTTCGATATCCTATTTACTCAGTTGGGAATCTCCGTGCTATATCCAATTCTTAAGCCTGGTTCCCATACGTGCAACTGCGAACGACCGGGTGCGTTAAACCCTCTTGTGGTCCATTACGTCAAGAGAAAACACTCTCGCCATCTATGGTGTTGAAAAGGAACACTTCGAATTCCGCATAATTTATTACCGCGCATCTGTCTTTATTTTGTTGCCTTGAAAATCTTTTGACAATGTTTTAAATTACATTTTATTATAGACAGTTCGAACATTTGTTTTCACCTATACTGCAAGATATCCGCTTTAGCGAAATCCAGTTTCAGAGCTACTTCATAGATTGCACCAGCGTGCCAGTGTGTTTATCTCACCATAGAAGCCCACAGAGAAATGGTTGTAAGCAAACGCAAGTGTGTGAACCAGACCTTCTACTTACCAATATCTACGGCAACTTTCCTGCATTACATTAATAGTAAAGCTTCAAAGAAACATGTTTGTGTTTTTTTCCAGCTCGGGGACGACAAGATTGGTGTCTGCGCAAGCGGGCGGTGTCAGGACCCGAAACGTTACCCGCAAATCGATGACAATGAATTGAAACCACCTTCTAAATAAAGGAACTCTGGCACCCAATTGGGGTTGATGCCACTGAGGACGAAGTTTCAAATATTCTACCTCCTATTACTGATACTATTTGAATTTACGCATGGCGACACTGCATGCCTGAAATATGAGTTGCCGGTTTTTATTTTTTTTTAATTTTTACTGATGTTCACATAAATCTAAAAAAATAGTGTGGTGCAAAATGCACATTTGGGCCGCAATATATATATATATATATATATATATATATATATATATATATATATATATATATATATATATATATATATATATATACGTCATTTTTGTTTCGAAGTTAAAAACGAAAAAGCGCCTATGTTTTGTTTGCACTAGTAAGTGTCTCAAAAGTGTACATTTCTTTATAGAGTCTGCAAAAGTGTACATTTCAATACACCCAACTAAAGATGGCAGTAAGGAGCGTACTGCACTATAATTACCGTTATTAAATTACTTTTTTCGGCAATGAGTAATGTAATGAGTATTTTTTTAGGCCGTTGTGTTCTAGTAAATCACTCATTATTTTTAAATCTTAAAAGAGTTGTCAAACATGACAGCTAGGTAACCATCGTACTCGTCGTTCCACTTGAATTGCGTCAAGACAGGGTTTGCACCTCTAAACAAACCCGACATTTGGCCCGAGGGCAGTATCTTCCACCAGTTTTTCGGTCACCTTGACAATGCGCGTGTTCAAAATGAGGAAACTGTAGCACGCGAGAATGACTGCAACTATCAGTGTCTGATACCAAAACGCAAAGGGCGTGCGAACGAAGGCCGATGAGTTCATGCCCAACGTAGTGACATGAAACTTTATGATTTTTCCTTCATGGAAACTTGACTTTGTAATAGGACACCCGACTCCAGATATTTTACACTAACAACAATGTGTATCGACGTGATCGAGATCACCAGTCTAGTGTTCAAAAGTTTGGTGGTGGCGTTAAAATTTCTACCGAGACATCTCTTTCGTCACATCGTCGTTTTGACCTGGAATCATATTCTGAGTGTATCTTGATGAAGATTTAGGCAGGCTATGGCTTCAATTATTTAGTTGGAATCTATTATTTTCTACCACTTTCCGATGAAGTAACGTTTTTCGAGCATTTTGAGAGACTTATATACAAATATTTTTTTTTCGACATACAGAATACAGATACATGGAGATTTTAACGTTCCAGGAGTCGACTGGCCGCTGAGGTTTGCTAATTGCAACATCGCCATAACTTCAAATAAGGCTTCATGGTTACTGTCGTTCGTGTACCACTGTGGCCTTGATCAACTGAAGCCAGTTAAGAATAGCGCTGCAAATGTACTCGAGCTTGTATTATATAACATCTCAGTCGATTCTGCGACAATTGTTATAATTTCTTAGTGCGATTAGGTGAGGTTCACCCACCGTTTGAGGTTATCGTCTGCCTTCCATGAAAACAGCCCATATCCCGTAGTTACTCTACTTACAATTATGCCCAAGGAGATTATCTGAGCATGTACAGGCACTTCGAAAACTTTGATCGGAGTGGGGTTCTTTGAATAACTGACACGGAAACAGTTGCTGAGACGTTTTCGTCGATTGTTAAAGACGCGATGGATACTTTTGTGCCTCAGTGAATTTTCAAGCCTTCAATTTCTTCTGAATATCTTTCCAAAAATTTTAAAACATGCTTGCGTAAAAAAAAAAAAAAAAACACTTTCACGGAGTGTTTCAATAAACTGGAAATACTTTATGCTATACTGTTTAGCATTTATCGCGCTCTAGCTAAGAAGGCTGTGCGCTACAGATAAGCACGTAAACTTTGACCGACTAGAGCGTAGGTTGAACCGGAGCGCAAAAGAGTTTTGGAGGTTTCCAAAACAGCACACGCGCAATACTAGCCATGTTATCTATATACGCAACCGCTCACTTAACGATAGCTATGTGTCCGGCCTTGCAGAGGTTTTAGATATGTTTGCCGGTTACTTCAGTGACTGCTACTTCACCGTTGAAGAAGCCTACGAATATTAAAATCAACTGCCAAGACTTTATGTCTGGTAATTGAAAAAAGAAAATGATTTCAAAGGTAAAACTATAAAAAAAATAAAACCAATATTATATACTGGGGCTAACTACATTCCATCTTTTATTATGAAGGCCTGTGGTGAATTTTTTTTAACTTTTCTTCAAGCAAGTCTTCAATCTCTCTCTTAGTTCCGGTGTTTTTTCATCACTCTGGAAGAACGCAGTGATTGCACCTATTTTCAAAGGTGGTAACGCTTCTGTTATTCATAACTATCATCCCATATCTTTATTCTCAGGATTTTTTATTGTGTTTGGAAGC